ACTTTTGCGACAACCTATGGAACGTAGCAAAGTTTGAAAACTTCTATGAAACAGTGATCTTCAAGGTTTATTCACCTGGAAATAATTCCCTGCTATTGGCTTTCCCAATTCGTTTTCGTCGACAAATCTGTGCGTGTCGAAGCTGAAATTTTGTTTAGTTGACTAAAAAGACAATGTATCTGTAAAATATTTTAAAAAAAGAATTCACCTTGCCCTAGCCATTTTTTCAAGTGAAACTGGTTTTGATTGCTTGTAGACAAGGAAATAGTACCTGTGCAAACCTAAAAAAATAGCTTTCTTGAGGGAGATTACAATGACTGTCCCTCAGTTGATGTACCTGTGCCTGAAGGAGGGTGAGGTCCCATGTAGGACACGAGCTCCTTGCCGTATTTTAGATGACTTCCAGGAACGTCCACAACTACCCAATGCAGATAATCGCGGAGCATCGGCTTTTTTCGAGAAGGGGCGTCTGGATCTAAATATAGAATTCAAGTTTTTAAATGGAGCACCCAAATCCAAAGTTGGACGCCGTTGCTTATGGATGTTCATTAAAATGATCTGCGATATAAAAAAATAAGATCACTTCATGCAACTTTACTTTTTTAGAGTGCCATGATTAATATTCTACGTTAACTCAAGCGAGTAACTAGTTAATAGGTAAGTATTGTCGAAGCGGCCTTCTGTAGGCATATTAATCAATAGTATTCTATGAGCACAATCAATAACTGGCATTTCACAATATTATCTGTAAATAATTTTAAATTTGAGAACTTTTCCACTTGCGGAAATCACAAAAAAATCTTGAAGTCAATAGCTTCGACATCACCAATGCCAATATTTATTGTTAAAATTTGGGTGCACATGCTTTGTGAGAAACAGGAAGTTGTTCTCGATAAATGGAGTGTATTTTAAAGGGAATTTATATTAGCAAGCATAATAATATTTATAAGAAGATTCGCTTCCTTCGCTAGGAAGCATATTATGATGTTAAGCAGGTGGTTCTACAAATGGTCTGTTTGTCAGAGTTCGCTTATTGATAGGTTTTTGTTGCCCCTTTCAATAGTCGGGTAAAAGTTTCATAAAAAATGAAAAAAAATTATAAAGCGTTCTTAAAACCTTAGAAGTGATCTTCATACAAAATCTCGCTTTCTCAATCAGATCAGGATATACTATTTATAGACATCGCATGAAAATAAGCAATAAAGCAAGGTTTGAGTAACCCCCACTGCATACCATACGGAATGGCCTGTTCAAAATTACTCTGTGATTTGCAAGATAATTACTATTCTAGGCTTTGTTAGTGATGGAACGATTTGAATCTACTAAAGCATTTTTACTACATAAAGAACATCTTACCAATCATTATAACGGTGTAATGTTGGTCTGGAGACGCATTCCAGTTCAACGTTGGTTTTGACGATGCAGCCGAAGGCGGTAGTTCATTTCCAAGCGAAACCTTAATA